TCGGATGGCCCGGCGCGTGCCGCGGGTCTCGGCCGCAGCCCAGTTCCGCCTCCGGTGGCGCCCACGTGATGCCAGGCGGGGTGAGGCCTGGGCTCCCGCGCCCCGCCCTGACCTCGGCTGCCCGCGTCCACTGGGAGCAAACTGGGACCTCGGGCCTGCGGGGATCCCTGCTTGGCCGTGCGCCAAGAGGCCGATCCGCAGGCCGGTGGTGGCCTCGGCCCTGCTGGACCCAGAGGCCGGTTTGGGGCACGTGGGAGTGGGGAGAGCTGACCAAGCGGGGCCTGCACTTGCGCTGGGCTTGGCAGGCTGGATGGGCTGGGTGTGGGGAGACTCAGTCCGCGTCGGAGTTGCTTCCTGCGTGGGCTGTTGTCAAGGTGCAGGGACAAGGAGTCCAGTGGCCACTGGGCATGGGCAGCTGCGGGCGGGCCTGGCTTCCCGGGAGGTGGGGTCAGAGGTAAAATCCTGTGCTCAGCCTTCAGTTTCCACAGGAGGGTGGGGGCCTTGCCTGCCCGCCTCCCCGCCCCTTCCTGGAGCAGAACCCTGACCAGGTCCTCCGGTGCTGGACTTAAGCCTGGGTCACGAGGCTGGAACTGGTGAGAGGGCAGGTTTACAGATGGAATCGAGAGGGGCCTCCACCATACCCCTGCAGGCGTCAGCAGGGAGCCTGGGCATTGCTCAGGGAAGTGCTAGGTGTGGTCAGAGTAGACACGGGCTGGGGACAGGTCTAGTACGGAACAAGGCAGGTCTGAAGGTCACACAGAAGCAGCACAGCCCCAGAGGAAGGAGACAGACCTGTCCAGAGGCCTGGAGACAAAATGCATGTCTGGCTGAGTTCCAGTTCAGGAGGCAGGGGCCAGGCAGCTCCCGGGTCCCGAGCCGTGGCACAGGAGGCACACATGCCAAGCAAAAGTGCCTGCCTCGGACCTTGAGAGGTGCATCCTGGGGGGATCACTGGGCACTGCCTTGGGAAGGGCCTGGGGGACCCTGGTCTCTCTCTGGCTTCAGGTCTTACAAGCAAGCGGTCACAAACAGCATGGGAAATGTTTGAAACACTGTTTTTTTTGTTTTGTTTTGTTTTTTTTTCCAGGAGGTAGTGAGAATTGAACCCAGGGTCTTTGTGCTAAGATACATCCTCAGCCCTTTTTTATTTTATTTTTATTTATTTATTTATTTTTTTCCGGTACTGGGAATCAAACTTATGACCTTGCACTTGCCAGGCAGGCACTGTGCCACTGAGCTAAATCCCCAGCCCCCCCCCCTTTTTTATTTTTTGAGACAGGTCTCAATAAATTGCTTGGGCTGGGCTTAAACTTGAGGTCCTCCTGCCTCAGCCTCTTAGGGAGCTGGATAAACAATTTTTTTGTTTTGAGACAGGGTCTCACTGTGAAGTTCAGATTGGTCTTGAATGCACTATGGAGCCCAGGCTGGCCTCTAACTCACAACAATTCTCCTGCCTCAGCCTCCTTTGTGCTGGGATTACAGACATGCATCATCATGCCCAGCTAACAGTTCTTAAAAGATCAGAAGAACTGAAAACACTAAGGAATCCAGGTTAAAACTGAAAAGAGGGAGTTTGGCACCAGGAAGGGGCTGCAGTGCACAGCTAGGGAACTGTGTGAGGGCCCTATGGGTGTGCAGGGCCCTGTGAGAAGGTGTGCAGTGGGCTCCAGCCTTGGGGGAATTTCCAGTCATGAGAGCAGTGCTTCACCTGGGGCCCAGAGACAAAAGCTGGCCTTTAGGGGCCCCAGAGGGCCACATCTGAGAAGCAAAGGTGCCCTAGAAGCAGAACTATCCCCCCAGGGACTAAGGTCCAGCCTGAACCCACTAATCCCTGATCCCAGTCCCTGCCAGAGAAGATGTGCAGTCCTGTGGGAAGACTGGGAGGGATGACCACATGGGGGTGACCACACGTCCACACGGTACATGCTCTGTGCGCGGCTCAGTGAGTTTCCACCGGCACCCTGTGAATGACTTAATGGCTGCACACACGTGTGAGTGGAGACGTTCTGGAGTTCAGTGCTGAAGTACAGAGTGCCGGCTCATTCTGCCTGCACCCAAATAGCTCTGAAAACCAGAGCAAAAAACAGTCAGAGGGTTATGTGCAAATATAACAAAATGTTAGCAGCTGATGGGCCTTGGCGAAAAGTGTATGTTATTATCATAACAACCTGAGCATTTAAAAACTTTGAAATCAAAATGCTGGAAAAAAATCCTAACTTCAAGAAAACCTAGCTAAAATGTATTGTTATACATTTAAAATAGGTTTGTTTTATTGTATATAAATCCTATCTCAGTAAAGCTGACAAAAACTGAAGGGCTTGGTGAACTACAGATTAGACCTAACTAGAGGAAGAATTGAACAACTGGAAGACAGAATGGGGGAAATTCATTCTGAAACAGAGAGAGAAACAGCGGAAACTGCAGAACAGACCGTGAATAGGGTATCATGGCGGCAGTAACCCTCCTGGAATAAAGGGAGGGGTCATAGAGATAACTTTCTAAAAGTGGTGAAAGCCATGGGTCCAAGAGTGCTGTGAGGCCTGAGAGAGAAAACCCACAGAAGTGAAAACATAACAGTACAACAGCCAAGGCCAGAGACAAAGGGGAGATGCTAGATGCAGCCAGAGGGAGAGACCCGTCTCGTCTCCTGTGTGCATGGTAAGATGAAAGCTGATCTCCGACAGAGGACAGGGAAAGAAGGCTTATGACCTCCAAACTAAGTCACTGGTAACCTAAAATTCTTATGTATGTAAGTATTTATTGTCATACTGGGGATCAACCCCAGGGGCCCTCTGCCACTGAGCTTCATTCCTAGCCCCTTTTATTTTTTATTTTGAGACAGGGTCTCACTAACTTTCCCAGGTGGGGTTGAATTTGCAATCTTCCTGCTCCTGCCTGTCAAAGTGTGTGCCACTACACCTGGCTGGAAACCTAAAATTCTAGCTTCAGCAAAAGATATATTTCAGCCTGCCTACAGTGCCACGTGCCTGTCCCAGCTACTCAGGAGGGTGAGGCCAGAGGATCCCTTGAGCCCAGGAGCTCCAGGCCAGCAGGGGCAATGAGGCAGGAGCCCATTTCAAAAATAAAAGTGGGGCTGGGGATATAGCTCAGTGGCACAGCACTTGCCTTATAAGCATGAGGTCATGAGTTCGATTCCCAGTACCACCAAAAAAAATTAAAAAACAAAAATAAAAGTGTATTATATGTGCATTTCAAAAAAAATTAAGATTAAATAGAGACATTGTAGAGAAACAAACTCAGGACGTTTGTCCCCATCAAGTTCCCATTAAGGAAATCTGACGGCCAGAGATATAGCTCAGCAGCACAAGTGCCTACCTGGCAAGAACAAGGTCCCAAGTTCAATTCCCACAAAAGAAAAAACAATCCAAGTGTCCTTGGAGCAGGAGGGAAATGCTGGAGCAGGAGGGAATCCTTGGAGAGGAGCTCAGAGGTGCAGACAGTGCACACTGGGTGGCCTCCTTCAGCTGGCTGAACAACTGCGAGCATGGCAGTGTCTCACAGAGCTTAGACCATGGTGCGGGGACAAGACCGTGACAGCACCAGATGGCTGTCATGAGTGGTGAGGTCCTGTGTCCTGAGACCCCAGCCACAAAAATGACACCCGCTGCCCTCCCGGGCACACAGACTCTGCAGGCATAATGACATTAAGGATTTGAGATGAGATCATCCTGGATTATCCACCGGCAGAAATGTCACCACCATGTGCTCCTGAGAGGGAGACGGTAAGCAGTGTGCCCCAGCAAGGAGGCTGAGGTAACAGGGATCTGCTCTCGAGCCACACCTGGGCCCAGGACTGTGACTGTCCTGAAGGGTGGGAAGGTGGTGTGTCCAAGCAAGGGCCTGCATTATCGCCCCATGAGATGCAGGGAATGAGGGCTTTGGTTTGTATTTGAAGTCTGCACTCTGTGGGGACAGGGTCTGCTGTGCCCTCTGCTGGACAACTGCCTGGAGTTGGGCTGAGTCCTGTATGAGATGGGCTGACTAGGGGTGGAGGGCAGAGCCCTCCTGTAGCCAGGAAGCCCCATTGCTCTTCACCCCACAGGCCTCAAGGGGCTACGAGGGTCCCCAGCATCTGAGGCGGGGCCAACTCCTCTGGCATCCAGGCCTCTGATCGGGGATGGGGCAGGTGGGACATCCAGAGACTGGGCCTTGGCTTCCCCTGTTGCAGGAAGGCTGGGGGTGGCGGTCAGGCCAGGGTCAGTGAGGGTCTCTATCTCCAGTCAGACTCAGGTGTCAGATATGGGCCCTGCTGAAGGCCCATGATGAGGTCATGGGGCAGTTTCCTGCGTCTGGTGCCCACCCAGGGCTCAGGTAGCGGGAGAGGGCTGCTGAAGCCACCACAGAGGGGAGCCTGGGACACTGAGGAGGATACCTGTTAACTTGGATTTGGGAGTAGATTTGGTAAATGAGGACGATGCTGCCACCAGGACCCAAAAGTGTCAAACACGGGGATCTAGAGTGAGTGTGGCAAACGGATATGTGGAGGGGCAGGTTTTGGATGTAAAGTCGCAGCCTCTCCTGGGTGGGGCTCTGCCTGCACAGACCTAGTGTGACAGACTATAGGGTCCCTGGGCAACCCCCAGAGGTGTGTCACCTCTGCCCTGCTGGCTGTGGCAGGGTGTGCTGGTGTCCACTTCCTGTTGTCACTGTGGACATGGTGGGCTGGGCTTTGGACCTGTGAGATTGGACCAGCATCCAGCTTCATCATCCACCATGAGACTGTGAGGTGCCCTTTCATTTTCCAGGTAAAAGAACAGGCAGAACTGAGTCCCCCATTTTGGGTATTTAACCCACAGCCCACACAGGCAAGGTAAATAAGTGCTCTGCCACTGAGCAACAGCCCAGCCTCTCTGTCTTTGAGACAGTCTTGCTGAGTTCCCCAGTCTGGCCTCAAACTCATGACCCTCCTGCCTCAGTCTCCCGAGTAGCTGGGATTAGAGTTGTACACCACTATGCCTGGCCAAATGGGGCTTTGGCTATGAAAGGAAAGGGGAGGGCTGAGCCTGCCTGCTGCCTCCAGGTGGCCCTATTTTGTACCGCCCCCCAACCCCATAAAGTCCTGTTTTCTTCTTAAATAAAACTTAGCTTATATCTCTAGGTAGGCAAACAATCCCCACCCTGCTCTGATTTTATTCACTGTGTTGTTACTTTCTGCTTCTTGATGTTCTGGCCTTTGGAGCCTTATCCTGTTCAGATTGCAATTCAACCAAAGGGAACCCCAGATGTCTCCTTTACCTAACTCCAGTCTCTGTCCTTGGCCCTAAATCCCAGACCATGTGGCAGAGGAGTCTGCCCTCCAGCCTGTGCCCCTGCCATCAACCCAGACATCCCAGCAGGTGCCTGGCCTGCCCTACTCCCACCTCTGCTGGGCACCCCCACTTGGGACACCAAAGCGCACATCTCCCTGGGGCAGCACTCTGCATCTGACCACACCTGGCTACAACCCCCTGGGACACATGTCACGATGGACAGGGACAGAGGAGGCAAGGGACAGGGCATGGACCAAGGGAGAAGATCCCAGGGAACTTTGAACACTTCCTCAATGAAACCTTCAAAGGTGAAGACAGAGGGACAAGGGATGGGGACACAGCAGGGAGACTTTGGCCACTTAGCCACATGGCTCCACAAACCCTTGCCAGGACATCATGACCATAGTGGAGAGTGGGTGGTGACCACACCAGCCCAGGCTGCAGCTTCCTCTCTGCTGCACTGGTGCTGAGGAAGTGATGGCAGAGGCTGGCTGTGTCCTCTGGGGCCTGGTGTAGTCTATGCAGGTCCCTCCTGGCCACTTCCTGTTCCAGTCGGGCAAAAGCCAGATATCCTGGAGTAGAAAACAGCTTCCAGGAATGAGAAGAGGCAAAGCACAGCAACTGCTGGAACAGGACTGGGATCTTGCCGAGCAGCCAGGCCTGGGCGGTGCACTGAGGTGCATGGAAGAGGGACCAGGAGGCTCAGGTGCCCAGAATCGCCCTGCTATCAGGGAGTCGGCAGGTGCAGCAGTTACAGGAGGCTGCACCTTCTTAAATAGGCTGGGGAAGAGAAGATAAATGATCTTCCTCTCTTTTAGAAAATGTTATTTCAGCATTGCTGTGGGACCAAAAATACAGATAAAAAACTGTCATGGTGTAGCACACAGTCATGAATAAAAGCCATAATAATTTCTGCTTGATGCTTGTTAGTATTTTTAAAAATGTGTAATTTGCTATGATTTTTTTTCTCTTATCCTGAATAAATATGTCCTAATTATCTAAGTATCATAATTGCCTTTTTCCTTGAAGGGGACCCCTCCCAGCTGGGGTAGACTCCATATGTGCCAACCTGATCGCCTGCCTCAGTCCCTGATGTTGGTGGAAGTGGGGACCAAACCCGCTCACACCATGATCCAGCTCAGGACTGAGAGGAGCCACGCAGGCCTTGGACTCAGGCACGGCCACCTTCCGCCTGAGGGAAAGGTGTCCTCGCCACTGCCACTTCTGCAGTGCAGAGGCCAAGGAGGAGAGCCCTGCTGGATGGATGGACGGCCCGGCTGCGGGCAGCCTGGGCCTCCTTGTAACAGACCTGACCCTGTCCTCACTCCTGTGCCACACCTCTTTGTGGCCCACAGTGGATGTGAACGGTGTTTCCACAGGCGCTCAGGATGTGCTCAGAGCAGAGGAGGCAGGAGCCGCTGGCATGCAGGTTCCTGGGGGGTGGAACAAAGCCACGGGTAGCTTATTGTTTCTGCTCATGCTGCGAACCGATGTCCTTGTTGAGCTTGCCCTGTTTCTTTCTTTCTTTTTCTTTCTTTCTTTCTTTCTTTCTTTCTTTCTTTCTTTCTTTCTTTTGTATTTATATTTTTGGTACAGAGGATTGAATCCACAGCCTTTAACTGGGTGATATCCCTATCATTTATTTTTTGAGGCAGGGTTTCACTAAGTCTTTATTATTATTATCATTATTATTATTATTATTTTGTCTTTTTGAGACAGGGTCTCACTATGCGATTCAGACTGGCCTTGAACTCACAACAATCCTCCTGCTTCAGCCTCCTGAGTGCTGGGATTACAGGCATGTGCCACCACGCCCGGCTCACTAAATCTTTAGATTGCCCAGGCTGGGCTCTAATTTATGATCCTCCTCCCTCAGCCTCCTGGAGTGCTGGGATATGCCTCCACGCCTGGCTCCAGGTCTCTTCAGGGCTGCAAGGTCTGCCTTTTGAGCTTCTGTTGGTGACAGAAGTGATGCAGGTGCTGTCTCATCATGTCCCTCCCACCGGGCAGCTGTGGTGTATCTTATGGAAAAGAGACAAGTGCCTGAGATGTGTCCTCCCAGCCTGAGCAGAAGGAACAAATCCACAGTGCATGTACCTCCACCGAGGCGTCCTTCCACAGAAACAGGAGGTATGTTTTAAGGTCAATCATAGGTCAAAACTGACCAGGCTAGTGGGATACAGCTGCAACCTCCAGCAGCCGCTCCCAGTCCCAGAGTTCAGAGTCTGCAGTCAGCAGTCTGAGTTCTCTGCAGGCCAGAGCGGCTACAGTATCAAGTGTTGAGCATCGATGTGACTGCCTAGAAAGCCACCTCCAGGATAGCTAAAGAACACCTACCAACCAGTAAGAACCAGAAATTAGATAAACAGTCAAGGTGTGTAACAGCTCAGCATTGATTGTAACTGCTGAGGCTGACGACATCTCTAAGTCAGCGAAGCACGGTGTCCACACACAGCTGTCATTGTGTGCAGTTTAACTTGCAGTGGCACTGGAGAGCTCAAATGAAATGCTGGGAGAAGCCAGTCCCACTGGCTGGGCTCCACTCCTGTGCTGGGCAGATTGGGTGCCTTAAACCATGGAGACACATGCTCTCCGTCCTGGAGGCTGGAAGCATAGATCAAGGTGTTGCAGGGCTGGTCCCTCCTGGACTGAGAGGGAGGCTCTGTCCTGGGCCTTGCTCTAGCTCCTGGTGGTGCTGGGCATCCTTGGTGCCAGCCTGGCAAGCTTCACCCAACCTCCACCTTCACACAGTGCTGTCCCTGTACATGTGTTGGAGTCCCGTGTCCGTTTCCCCTTTTATGAAGACAGCGGTCCTATCAGACGAGAGGCACCATAAGAACTTCGTTTTATTTTTTGCTCATTTATTTATTTTTGTTCTTTTGAGACAGGGTCTTACTATGTAGCCCCAGCTGGCCTTGAACTCATGATAATCCCTTTCCCCCAGCCTCCTGTGTGCTGGGATTACAAGTGTGTGCCTCCATGACTGGCAGGACCTCGTTTTACATTATCTCTGTAAGCCCTAGTCTCCAACTAAAATCCCATTTTGAGGTGCGGTGGTGGGACTCTGTATGAACTTGGGGGACACGATGTTCCCTCAAAGAGCAGCAAGAGAAGTGGCCCCTCATGAGAACCCAACTCCACCCCTGGCACTGTCAGAAATGAAGCCTGCTGTGTAGACTGCCCACACTGGGTCCCCTGTTCTGGAAGGGACCCAGGGAAGGAATGGTTCAGAGTGCCCCTGGTCACCAGCCTCCAAGAGCCCCAGGAGAGGAGATAGTCCCCACTTGTGGAAGTTGTGTTGGGCAGGTGTCTACTGAGCTTCTGACTGCTCTGAAAGACATTCTAGGGAGTTTGGGGAGAGCTTGATGAAGGATCCTTTATTTGTAGGCCACTTTAATTAATGTGCTGCATCAGGAAATGGAAAGTTCTGGCTGTGGGCTTTCCTTTCTGTGATGTCTCCTGTGTACTCTGCTGGCTTCTGTCCTGCTCTTCCTTGAAGTGAGTGCAGCGTGGCTGTGGGCACCATGGCCAGGTCACAGCCCTTCCAGGTGGAGCCTGGCATTCAGAGGGTGAAGGTAGAGGGGTGCTGAGGAGACAAGGACAGAGAGGCCCCCCAGCCAGAGGCAGAGCGAGGGGAGGGCGAGCACCCTGCTGGCTGCCTCTGGGCACTGGGCCGAGGGACAGCTTGGAGCGGGTGCCTGACTTTTCCTCGAAGCCCTGCCAGGGCTCTGCACTGCTGGCTCCACCTGCTGGGATGCTCTGCCCTCAGCTTCCCGGCCACATGATCCTGGCTCCATGCCCACAGCCAGGGGCATTTCTGGGCTCATTTATCCAGCAGTTTGAAGTCAGCCTGTCCAGATGCAGCCCTAGGACACACTGCAGGGCCAGTGCAGAGAGGACCCAAGGTCCCCTCCCAGCTTCTCCTGCACAAGGCCAGCAGCCTGACTTCTGAGCAGAGCCCCCCAAGGGCAGATGGCCTGTCTCCTCTGGGGTTCCAACTGTAGCAGCCCTCATACAGGGACATCACTCCCCCTTGGCTGTGCCCTTCTCGGTCTTTCTGGTCCCTTAGGGCCTCTCACCGTGCTGTGCTGCCCTGAGTGTGGGTCCCCACCACACCTCCCCAACTCTGATCCCTGGCCAGGCCCACAGAAGCAGGGAGCTCAGAGTGGCGCTGGCAACAGAGACAGGGTGGCTGGGCGGACATGATCCCCAGACAAGGCAAAGGTGTGTGTATTGGGGCTGCCCCTCCGCTGAGCCCCAGACTAGCTGGGGCTGTGGTGGGGTCGGGCCCTTCCCACCAGCTACAGTGTTCCCGTGTGGGGACAGCGCAGTTCCACGGGCACCAGCCCGTGGGGTGGACAGTAAGGCAGTGGTCACTGCTGTCCTGCCCTGGATCCCATCTGCCTTGGGGCTCCGGGACAGTGCTGCTTCTCGCACAAATCTCGTCCCGCGTGGGAAGCGTGGGTCGGTGGAGCCGCGGGCCTGGCACAGCAGACGCGAAGGTCCCGCGCCCGGTATCTCCAGTGCGCACGGGAAAATCTAGTCCCAGTTGGGCCCGCAGGGAGTGGCAACGCCGGCCAGCCCCCTCCTCGCCGGGGTATCGGACCGAACTCTGCAGGCCCCGCCTTCGCAGGAGCCCGCCCGATCTCCCTCAACTCTCCGCCCTTCAGGCCCCGCCCCTCCTACAGACCCCGAGTCTCCCCGCAGTCGGCCCCAGGAGGCTTTGACCCCGCCCTCTCCCCCGCGCGGCTCCCCCCACAGGAGGCCCCGCCCCCGCAGGCACGGTCTTCGCGAGGCCCCGCCCCGTCGCCCGGCAGTCTCCACCCTTAGAAGGCCCCGCCCATCCTCAGGCCCCGCCCCGCAGCTCGGGCCCGCCCCCCACGCGTGCGTACTGAGGTGCGCAGTCGGAAGCCGGGCGCCGGCGGAGCCGCGGCGCTGTCCTCAGCGCGGACCCGGCCTCCTGTTCGCCGCCGGGGCTCGGGCCTCTGGGCCGGGGATGGCGGCAGC